CAGACCCGGGGGCCGAGCAGAGGCTGGCGTTGGCCCGAGGGCGGGACCGCCGGGGCGGGGAGCGGGGCGGGCGCTCGCCTGGGTCGGGCCGGCCGGATTCCGAGGATACGTGTGGGCCGAGGCGTGGGCACCGGGCGGGAGAAGAGGGCCCGACGAACCTTTTCCCAATTGGTCCGGGACTGGCTTGGGGAGATGAGCAGGCTGGCCTCACCCGACAGGGTGGCAGATTTGGGGTGGATGCCGGGAGGCTGGCCCAGCCTCCCAGGCGAGTGTCTGGAACTCTTTCAACTGCCTTAGAGGGTGTTGGTAAGTCCGAGGGCCCAATGACAAGCAGCACCCCCTAGTCACAGCTACCCTCCGCTCCACAGCCTGCCCTAACCCGACCAGAGCAGGTGGGGAAAGTGGGGAGCAGAGCCCTATCCCAGCCCTGCCTGGACCCACAGCACCTGGGGAGGACAGGGCGCCCATCCCACGCCTCTAGCTCTGTCCTTGGGGCCAGGTCTTCATTCAGATTGTTAGAGGTGATGTCATCTCTCCATCAAGGAGGGGACTCATCATTTGCACCCCGGGCTGTAACAGGATGGAGGCGGATGGGTAGAGGGGCTTTCCACTCCCAGGCCAGGTGTCTGGGCTGGTCCAGGGGTCTGAAACGTCCTGGCCTGGGGCACCGGCTGAGTCCTTCCTACCCTCCACTCACCTCTGGCTACCTGCCTTCTGCGGTGGTTGCTTTCCCTGTGCCCTCGGGCGAACGCCAGCTTCCGCTTGGTCCCCGGTTCTGGCCCCGGGGCCCATCAGGTTGGCCCAGCTTCCTCTGTGATACCCCTCTATGCCTGATGTTCTGCTCACACTGTGTCTGCCAGGACCCATCCCTGCTCCTCGCCATCGCTGTCATCGGGGTCACGGTGCTAGTGTTGGCGCTGAAGAACATGAATTCCAAGAAGAAAGCCCTTGTCACCTTACAGGACCCTGAAACCAAGTACCCACTCCCCTTGATTGAGAAAGAGGTAATGGGTCAGCCACCCTGTCCTGTGTGGGTGGGTGACAGAGGACAAGGATGATGAGGAATGTTGGCTAGGAAGGCAGGCAGTTAGTCACTTCATGGCCTGGAGGTTGCTCTCCACTGCGTGTGTGTTCATGCGTGCTGGGGTAGACTACACGGAGCTCCTTCCCCACCATCTGAGCTGCCCAGCAGGAGTTCCAGGAAGCTGACAGAGCCTGCCTGTTTCATTTTATTAGGAAATCACCCATAACACCCGGAGGTTCCGCTTTGGACTGCCCTCACCGGACCATGTCTTAGGGCTTCCTGTAGGTAAGTGGGGCTCGGTATTATCACCAGGACGGGGGGCGGTTCTGGGGGCTTGGCACTCTGCTGTTCTCTGAAACACAGCTAAGTATGGAGGGTGCCCTCTTCCCCTTCCTGAGCTGGACTGGGGACAATATGTTTTCTTTCATCCCTGTTTGATTTGGGCTGACACGAAAGTAGTACCTCCAAAAACATTCATAGAAAAGAAGCTAGCTGGAGCCAGCAGGTGGCATGGTGGTGAAGGGTGCTGGACTCCCACATGGCCGGCATGGATCCCCATGAATGTCATCATGATCCATAGCTGGTCTACCGGCTTCTACTCTGAGGGGCAGAGTTACATGGTTTAGGACTTCACTGCTGTCCTTAAGCAGAGCCGGGGGGCCAGGAGGACACACACTGGCTTTGTTTGGTCCTTGGGTGTCCATATTCCAGGCCCTGCAGTATCTGTGAACTTAGGGCCCACTCTGTGCTGCCAGCAGGACGCAGACAGGGAAGTTGCGATTCGGTCACAAACCCGAGTGATACATCCAGTCTAAGAATAAAGGAGTTTGGGGCCAGCAAATGGCGTAGTCATTAAGGCACTGAACTCTCACATGGCCGACCACAGTTGAGTCCCAGACTTGGCGGCTTGAAATTCATGCCAGGTAAGAGTGAATGCATGCCCCAAATCCCAAGAGGAGAATGGAGGAGAAGGGATTGCTATGTGGCCATCCCCCATGAGGGTGATTTCTCACTTTCTCTCTCTCCTTCTTTCTGATGAGTGCATGTGCCCTATAGCAAAAATCTCTCTCTAAAAAATAAAGAAATAAAAAACAAAAAAATGAAGAAGAAATGAGTTTGTAAAAGCAACATTTTTTTTAAAAGGGAAACTCCTTTCTGTGATTTTGTTTTAAAGACGAGGTCTGGTTCTCATGCGCTCCTCCTGCCTCAGCCTCCCAGATGGGACTCTAGGTGCATGCCACCATGTCCAATGTCCAGCTTTATTTTTTTTGGGGGGGGGGACTGCAAGGCATGTGCACTTGCTAGAGAGAGGGAACGTGAGAAATCCCCCCCAGGATTGGCCAGGGATGGCCACACCTCAGTGCCTTCTTCTCTCAGGACTTAGGACACACACGTGTGCCCAGTGTATTTTCCAGCCTCCAGGTCCAGGACTCAATGCACAGTCAGCCATGTGAGATTCAGCCTCTTAACCACCATGTGACCTGCTGGCCCTGTCCAGCTCTTTTCCAGAAAGGGTCTTCCTATGTTGTCCAGGCCAGCCTCAAGCTCACAATCCTGTCTCAGCCTCCCAAGTCATTGGGCTTATAGGCATGCACCACTGCGCTGGCCCTTTCTGGAATTTTTTATACTCACCCTCCAACTTTAGCTCTTCTTTGCCACAAAGCACTTAGGCTGTGATCGTGGCTGAGCAGGCATATCATCCCCAGTGTACAGAAGAAGAGACAAAAATGCAGAGGTGATGTGTTGCCCAGGGCAGCACAGGGAATGTGGAGGGCAGGGTTAGGACCTTGACACTGAATCTGGGCTCCATCCCTGCATGCCCCTCCTCCTTGTACTTCCTGCCACAGTGTCTGCCCCTCACTGAAGCTCAGTCCTTCAAGGGGTTCCCAGGTCCTATTTAGGCCAGCCATGCTCAGACTTGATGCCTTTTCTGTAGGTAACTATGTCCACCTGTTGGCCACAATCGATGATAATTTGGTGGTCAGGGCTTACACACCTGTGACCAGTGATGATGACCGGGGCTTTGTGGACTTAATCATAAAGGTAAAGGCCACCCCCAATGTCTACCTGCCTCATGCTCACAAGTCCATTGTGTGGGGAGTGGGGAGCACTTTTCTCTGAGGGAACACACGCCCTGGACAGGACTTTCCTCCAGTGTCCTTGGAACTGCTTACAGCAACCATGGGGCAGGGTTTTTCCTTCAGCTTCCAGTGACAAGGGCCTGTCCTTGTACCTGTGGCCTTGGAGGTGTGTGTGAAAACCATGCTGCCTTGTTTTTCAGATCTACTTCAAAAATGTACACCCCCGTCATCCTGAAGGCGGGAAGATGACTCAGTACTTGGAAAACATGAAAATTGGGGACACCATCCTTTTTCGAGGGCCAGTCGGGCGCCTGTTCTACTATGGGCCAGGTACTGGGGGTTTACACTGGGCCTCCAGTTGGAAGGAAGAAGATTCTTGCAGTGTTTCCGTTGTTCTAAAACACTCTTCAGATGGAAATCCTGAGGGGACTCCCTGAGGCTTGTCCTTAAAGTTGTCAAATTCATGAATAGGCACACCCGTCATCCATTCACACACCTGCTTTATGAGCTTGTGAGCTTCATTAAAGTAGGGGATGATGCGGTGTTTCCTCATCACTGTGTCACCAGCGTGATCCCTGATGCATATAAGAAAGGTGCCTGCTACTGCGGGGAAAGGGATGGACAGAGCCCACACTCATTCCGATTCACCACTGGTCCATCATTCACTGGTTCCCTCCTACAGGCGGGAGTGATCCGGAGCGCCATGACTTCAGCGTGCCTCTTTCCTCAGAAGGAAAAGTCTAGTGATTTCCTAATGGGATCCAGGTTCCACTCCCATCTGGTGCACTGGGACTGGCCAAGGAGGCCACCCTGGCCTGTTTCTTGTATTTAAAAAGGTGCAGCCCATCTCTGATGTGGGCTTGCCTCCTGGGAGTCCCAAGGGAAGTTAGTGATCTCATGGAGGCTCTCGGGCAAGAACTGCAGAAGTCAGAAGCATTCTCTGTTTCCAGGTAATCTTGGAATCAGACCAGACAAAACGAGCAAGCCTGAAAAAAAACTGGCTACTCACCTGGGAATGATTGCCGGGGGCACAGGTAAGAGGGCAGCGGTGGTGAGCCCTGAGTTTTGACTTTGGAGTCATTTGGTCCTAGAAGAGAAGTTCCTCTCCTGGCTGTGGCGGGTGGGAACAAGGAGTCGGTGACAAGTTTGGAATGGATCCTATGTGCCCTACCTCCCTTCCTCAATGTGGTGCTTGCCCAGGAGCCAGGACCAGGGGCCTCTCAAGTCAGGTAGGAGTTCAGGCTAGTCAGGCCTCCCCATGACCTCCCAAGGGCCTCTGGATCAAATTCAAGTCTGATTTGCCCCATCCTTGAAAATGAAGGGCCGAAAGAAGAGAACACGACTTTAAGGAGACATACAATGCCAGCCACCGCCATAGGAGCTTTTAACATTTGTACTTATTTATTTATGTATTTAATTTGGTGCATGTGCTTACTGGAGAAACAGAGAGGGAGAAAGTGAGAAAGTATCCCTCAGGGAAAATAGCCACACTGCAATCCCTTCTCCATTCTCCTCTCAAGATTTTTGGACATGCACACACACACACACACACACACACACACACACGCCCAACATGTTTTTTCAAGCCGCTGGTCTGGGACTTGAGGTGTGTAGTCTGCCATATGGGATCCAGCCACCTCAGGTACTATGCCACTGGCTGGCCCATGATAGGAACTTTGAAAATGGTCACATTTGCTCATCATTAATTGTTTTGTAAGTGAGCACACTGGAGAGTTCAGAAGCTTCCTTGCATCTTGCCAAATGAAAATGAGAAAGGGCTTTTGACTATTGTATTAGAAAGAAAAACCAGAATGAAGTATTATTTCCCACATTTGAGTTTTGGGGGCAGAAGTGGAAAAAAAGAATAAAAAAAATAAACAAAAAAGATGTACTTGGGACCAGGGACTGTGGGCATCAGAGCTGGAGGGGCCAGCCTGCCCAGTAACTGTGTTGCAGGCATTACTCCCATGCTGCAGCTCATCCGCCACATCACCAGGAACCCCAGTGACAAGACCAGGATATCACTCATCTTTGCCAACCAGGTCAGTTCTGCCGAGTCAGCCCTGAGCTTGCAGCAGGAGAATGGCATGTTCGCTGAGCCGGGGCTTTGCATTCATGCCTTCCCCACCGATTGGCTCGCCCTGTTTGGGTGCCTGTGGCTGTGGGAGGGGTTCGTCCCACTGGCAGCTGGACAAGCTGAGTCCAGGCCCGTTTTTCTGTTTGGTTTTGTTTATTCTGTCCCTTTGTCAATCCCAAGCACCGAGCTTCCTTTTCTTCGTTAATGCAAACTTCTATGTTTTTCTGAGTACAAAATCTTAGATTCACCCAGTAGAAATTTGGGGAAATATAGGATAATATAAATGTTTCTACTCATTTTTTGGCTTTTTCTACATTTGCTATTTACAATTTTATATATATATATGTGTATATATATATATATATATATGTATATGTATATATATGTAATATATAACAGTTAGGATTTTGTACTCAGTATTCCTGGTAACAGGCATTATCATCATTTTCTGTATCAAGTTGTCCTGTAACTTAGGACATCTCTTCCTATATCCAGGTTGTCACTTTTCACAGTTATAAATGATATGGTACCTAGGCTCGATGACTTCTATTTTCTTAAAAAGAATTCCAGAAGTGGAAGAATTAGGACAAGCATCATGAAGACTTAAGATCCAGGTCTTCTGTGTCCTGCCTTAGCCTGTGAAAAGTGACTTTTTGGCCGTGGCTTTCTTCCCCTGTTGAGGCTCCAAACCACTTTCTTTCCTTGTGATTGCGGTGTTGTTCCACCCCATGCCTTCTCTATTCTCTAGCCCTTTATGTTCCCTGCTGAAGGTCCAGGCCTGTGCTGAGCTTGTACCAGCTGGGTTTGCTGTGCCTGGTGCTCGGTGGTGTAGGAGGTGGGGCTTGGAGCTCTGAGTGAAGCCACCCCAGCTGTGCTCGGCCACAGTCCCTCCAGCTGGAGGTCCCTGCAGCTCTGTGGGAAACTACACCATCCCATCAACTCTATTCACAAGAGTGAGGGTTAGACCTACAGGAATGGCAGTGGTATTGTTGTCTGCCAGCCCGGGAGCCTGTGACAAGCATGCATACTAGAGCATGGACAAGCATGTGCCGACTGATCCTCTCAGTCCAGGGAACAAGTAGGGTATCCCTGCAGGTGTCTTTCTAATGTTGCTTCCTTTCTAGACAGAGGAGGATATCTTGGTGAGAAAGGAGCTTGAAGAAATTGCCCAAACTCACCAAGACCAGTTCGACCTGTGGTACACCCTGGACAGGCCTCCCACGGGTATGATCCTGGGGCTCCCACCCACTGTGGTCAGATCCAACACAGGCCCACTGCAAGACCTGCTCTGTTTATTGTTTGTTTTTTTTTTGTTGGTTTGTTTGTTTTAGGACTGGGCTTGGGGATGAGGTCTTGGGCTTTGACTTACATGGAAAATGCAAGAGTTCGAGGGTGAAAGAATTTGGGGATGAACTGCTTGTACCTGTGTCCAACCTGTCAGCAACACCCCACAAATTGCACTGACCATCAGGAGGGGCTGAGCCTCTGGGCCATCCTGAACACCACTCCACGTGACCATCACACACATTCACATCTAATATGGCCACTGGCCCCTATAGCAGTCATGCCACAGCATTCGGCCACCACACCCGTTGTTGTGCACCTCACCTGGACAGCAGTACTCACACTCTGAGTCCGAGAGAACAGCTGCAGCCCAACCAGCACCCCAGTAACAAGCATGCACATTGCACTCCACACCCACCATGCGCCTGCACACTGCGCATTGTGCCTGCCTTGTCATGCAGCTCACGGCTCAGCAGAGGGTGCCTGCCACCCGAGAGGTTCTGGGTAGTTGCACACCACCACTCCCTACACTGCCCGACAGTGTTGATTCGCACTGCATCACAGTACACCTCACAGTGTAGTCCTCCTTCCGTGGAAACAGCACAGAGACACCAGCAGAGCTAAGAGTCACAGCAGTGTGCCTGGAGTCTGCACTACACACTCCATCAGGTTAACTGAGACCCCCGTAGCCTCTCCCTTGCAGGGTTTCTGCAGGAACAGCAGTGCAGAGACTCTAAACCATTGTAGAGCAGCCTTGCCTTTCTCTCCCTGACTTGGGGATGGTGGAGGGGAACAGGAGGCCTGGAGTCAGGGGTCTACCTGGCACCTCCACTTTTATTTTTCTTCTTTTGCTTCATTTCAGGCTGGAAGTATAGCTCAGGCTTTGTTACTGCTGATATGATTAAGGAGCACCTCCCTCCTCCCAGAAAGTCCACACTCATCCTGGTGTGCGGCCCACCCCCCTTGATCCAGACAGCTGCTCACCCGAACCTGGAGAAGCTGGGTTATACCAAGGACATGATCTTCACCTATTAACACCTGCGCTTTTCCCAAATTTGCCTGCTCCCTTTCATCTGTTTTAGCCCTTGTCGTGCACCCTCGGGCACAAGTACCAGTGCTCCTCTTTTGGGTATAAGCCTACAGTGGAGGGCACGGAGGGCATGACGGGCTGGAGATGAAGTGGCTCCTGAGGCTCCTTGCTGGAGGCTGGAAAGGGCTGCTCCTGTTCTCTGTGGTTTAGTGAAAATAAACTTAAGCACACACCAGACAGCCCACACAGCTGGCTGGGGTTGGGGGGTTACTGGCTAGGCAGGCAGGAGGCCTTGGTCCACCCTGCATGGGAGCTGGTTTCTGTGTGCTCAGGCTTCATTCCCACCCATATGATCAAGGAGTGCTTTTGCTGGAGCAGAAATTCAAAAGAATCCAAATGGGGGACCAGCAGTTGGCATAATGGCTGTCGCTGGACTCCCATGCAGTTGACTGTGGTTCAAGTCCCAGACCTAGTGGTTTAAATTCATACCAGGTGCATGTGTGTGCGTGCCCAAGATCCCGAGAGGAGACTGGAGGATGGGGGATTGTAGCATGGCCATCCATCCCCCCTGGGGGGTGAGTTCTCACTTTCTGTCTCTCTTTCTGGTGAGTGTATGTACCCATAGCGAAAACCTCTCCAAAAAACAGAATCCAATGAGCCCCCAGTATTTACCCTTGAACGCCTCTCCCTATACTGTTCTGCTTTTAAGATCAGACCTACTAGAGAGCTCAGGGACCCTCCGTGTACACTATTTCTTCTCCAGTGGGTGAGCTTTGAAATAGAAATGGTGTTAAAAAGAGACGTTGAGGTGTCAAATCCACAGGGTGGGTGGGCTTCAGAATCACTTGTAGACTCCTGCACTTTGCAAAGCAAATAGAAGAATATGTGCATTTTTTTTGGCACCTTCTAAATGCTAGGCTCCATCCTGGCACTGGGGCCACAGGCAGGAGTGGTTCCATGCAGAAGCTTCTCAGCTTGGAAGCAGTTAGGGTCCAGGAGCTATGTAGACCCTTTAAATCACTAAACCCAAATGAGATATGAGGGGACCACTCGCCACCTGCTGCTCAGAGCCAGGATGACATGCTGCCCTGCCCTTTGAGTGGGTGGAGCGGCTCTTGCTCTCTCACAAAATTAGTTATAGATGAGAAAACAGCCTTTCAGAGGCTGTGTCCATCTGGTCAGTAGGTGGCAGAGCTGGCTTCAAACCCAGGTCTAATTCCAGGTCACTCCCCTTTTCACAAACCCCAGCATAATAGCAGAGCTGAAACGGCATCACGGAGCTTTGGTGTGCGTGTGTGTGTGTGTGTGTGTGTGTGTGCGCGCACGCACGTGCGCAAATGTGCAGGAGGGAATGGGAAGAGGACCTGGATCTGGGACACTCTCTCAGAAGCACAGCTGTGTCTTGCCCCCAGGAGGCCAACCCAGAGATGTTCTCACAGAGGGGCTGTGAGGTGGCCGGGAGGGGCAGCCACCTGTCAAATGCACCTGTGCAGCGCATCCTCAGTAAATCCCCTACTCAGGGAAACACCCCACTGGACACTTGACTATAAGCAAGATCCTACTCTCAGATGTTCTTAAATGAAGATCTGACATGCTTGTCACCTGCTTTAAATCCTCCACTGCTTTCACTGTAGCCTCCACCCCAGCCACCCTGCCTCCAGGACACGTTCCAGGGGCCTGGCTTGTCACAAGGCCTTCATTTATCTGGCCCCTGATTGCCTCATCACAGCCCTCCTTCCCTGGCAACCCACTCTGATCCCATTTTTAGCCCAGAGTCCTCAACTAGGGACACCTCACCCCCAACATCTGCCAAGGGTGACTGGTTGTCGCAACTAGAAAGGGATGTTACAGCGGACTAGTCCATGGCCTGGTGGATAAGGCAGCTGGATCTCACGTGGCCAACCAAGCAGTTCGCGTCCTGGATCTAGCATCTTGAGGAACGCAGAGGGTGCATATGCGTGTGTGCCCAAGATCCCAATAGGAGGGAAAAATGGAGAAGGCATTTAGTATGACCATCCCCTTTCTCTCTCCCTCTTTTTCTGTCTGTCTCCAGAAAGCACATGAGCTTTTTGGCAAAACATTTATAAAAAAAAAAAAAAAAAAAAAACAGAGTATGTGTGCCCAGAAAAAGCATAGGATTTTTTGGAAAAAAATTTAAAAAAAAAAAAAAAAAAAAAAAAAGAGAGTATAGACCAAGGGTGCTGCCAGACATCCCACAACCCACAGGACAGAAGGTCCCAGCCCCAAGTGACAATAGTGCTGGGGCTAGAACCCTGCTCTATCTTTCCAGCTCGCAGTAGATCCTGGCTGTGTGTTTCAGGTCTGCCTGCCTAGAAGGCCCTTCCCCTCTGGCTCTCCTGGAGAAGTAAGGTTCATCTTTCAACATTCAAGAAGCACGTCCTCCATGGAGTCTCTCAGACTCCCGCACCCCAGTTAAAAATGACAAGTGCTCTCTGGGACTGCGGAGACTTGTCTTGGAGCACTCAGCACACTCTCATTTTGAAACAAGTCTGCAGTCCACCCCTGGATTGTATGTAAGCACCGTTACGCAGGGACCTTGGCATTTAGGCCTGCATCTCCAGCCCCTTCCCACCAGGAGGGTACTTTACGTGCACCTGTGAAGGATCATGTGGACCGACGATTTAGGAGTATGGATCTTCTGGGCAATTTGAAGACCAGGATAGGGTCTGAGCTCTGTGCAGAAGCCAGCCCTTAGCAGGTGCTTGGCAAGTGTGTGTTGAGGGTGGAGTTGGTAAGATGACAGACACGTAAGGTCAAGGCAAGCTGGGCTCCAGGGCATTCACAGCACTGTGGGGCTGAGGTAAAGGCTTCCTGAAAGATGAGGTAGCTGAGCTGGGCCTCGACCAGCAGAGATTTGGCCTCATGAAGGAGAGGAGGAAAACGCATTCCACAGCAAGAGAAGGCCCTGAGAAGAGGCCTGGAGGGATCAAAGATCAAAGATGGGCTGAAGGCAGTGAAGGGCCTTGGGTGCTGCTCTGTGGTAGGTCCGTAACTGAGGTGCTCTGAACAGGAAAGGGACAGGATTAAAGCAATGCTTTGGGAAGGTTCCTATGGGGATAGGGTAGAGAATGTCTACAGGGGACCAGCTGGGGAGGTGAGGGACCAAGTAGGCGGCCAGCTGCAATAATCAGATGAGAGATGAGGCTTGAACTAGAGCCAGCATGTGGGCATGAGGCTCTGGCGACTTGACGTGCCTCTCAGTAAGGAGGGAGACATGGAGAGGGGCCAGATTTGCTGTTCTGGAAGACAAGCATTGTAGAGGAGATGGGTTGATCTGAGACTGTCCAGGGGCCTTCCACTGGGGGGCACTGTTTAACCAGGCATTCCAGTTGAGGATGGTGAGAGGAAAAGCCTGGGAGACTGTGTGCTCTGCACGTCAGTGGAGGGAGAGGCGTGTGTGTCTGTGTGTGCATGCGTGTGTGCATGTGCGTGTGTGTGTGTGTCAGGGACTCTGCGGATGTGGGTAGGTGGAGGGCAGCCAAGGAAATGGAGAAGGAGTCTCATGGCTTTTTTCCTGTTCTCACTCCAAATGCCCTCCAGGGTCCCTGGCAATGGAAAGACACGCTTTTGCAAAGCAGTCTGCTAGGGCGCTCCCCGTGGTTGTTTCACCGACTCGGTCACTACAGGGCGTTCAGAATGTTTCTTCAAAACCCTTTTTTCCAGCAGACGTTTTATGCACTTACAGCTCTTCCCCTTTGGTTACGAGCCTCACTCCCGGCTGTCACCAGAATGTGAGCCATTGAGTGTGCGCACTGATTTGTCACTGTCCTCCCTGCAAAGTGCTCTGCCGTCTGTGTATAAAAGTACAAAAGGTTTCAAGGTTTCAAAGCTGCGGCGATGAGCACAGCACGGTTGAAAACACAGGGACACTGGGGCCACCTCCCGGACATCTGTCCCCCAGCTCAGCTCGCTCCTGTCAGCACCCGTGTGCGAGATGCTCTGCCAGCCCCCATCTGGGCTCGGCAGATGGCTGGGTGCCAGTTCCCCATTGAAGCAAAGACTCAGGGCTCCACACGTGCCTCTCTGGGCTGTCAGTCATGAAGAAAGTCATCTCCAGCCGTCAGAGTCGGGAGCAGCCAGGCGAGAGTCATTCAGCAGCTGGTCCTGGCTCAGCATAGTCTGGAAGGATACAGCAAAGGGGCAGCTTAACAGGGTCTTTGGTCAAGAATGTGCTGTGGCAGCTATGCATGTGGCTACGTCTGACATACAGGCCCTGCAAGTATGATGTCCCAGGGACCCTGTGTACTGGATCAGACTATGTCAAAATAGAAATACATTGCTCATCTTAGAAGTAAAGTTGCGGGACCAGCAGTTAGCATAATGGCTACGTCACTGGACTCCCATGTAGTAGACCATGGTTCGAGTCCCAGACCCAGTGGCTTAAACTCATGCCGGGCACATGTGCGTGAGTGCCCAAGATCCTGGGAGGAGAATGGAGGAGAAGGGACTGCGGCGTGGCCATCCCCCCCGGGGGATGATTTCTCACTTTCTGTCTCTCTCTGTCACTTTCTGATGAGCGCATGCGCCCTATAGCAAAAACCTCTTCAAGGTACCAGCAGTTAGCGTAATGGCTATGTCACTGGACTCCCACGTAGTTGACCGCGGTTCGAGCCTGGATCCGGTGACTTAAACTCACTCTAGGCGAGTGTGTGTGCGTACCCAAGATCCTGAGAGGAGAATGGAGGAGAAGGGATTGTGGCATGATCATCCCCCTGGGGGGTGATTTCTTGCTTTCTATCTCTCCGTCTCTCTCTGTCTGGCGAGCGCACGCACCCTATAGCAAAAAAAAAAAAAAAAAAAAAAACACAAACCAAAAAAAACCTCTCCAAAAGAAAAAAAAATAAAGTAAAGTTGCTATTTCAAGGCCACCAAAGGCCTCTTAGTGATCATAAGGGCAAGGATGGAGAGATTCACTGTGTGAGCCAAGAAAACAAAAAGGGGAAAAGTGAGCTTGCTTGTATTTGGGGACTCCCCTATCTTGCTCCAAGACAGTGTTCTACATGTTCAACAGATGAAGCAAAGCACAGCTGGTGGGCCTCCGTGTGGACAGCTGCTAGACCAACAGGCACAGGGTCCTGGGAATTCTAGGTCTCCCCAAAACAAATCTGTGCTCTGTGACTGTCCTTTCCTCATCAACTTAGTCTATGAGCCTTGCAAGGAGGCTATTATTAACTCGGGTTTACAGATAACTAAGTCAAAGCTTTGAGAAAGAATGACATGCCCACGGTCCGAGAGCTAGTAAAAGGCAGAACCAGTTCTGCCTTACTCCAAAACTGCCTCTGTGTGATATGGCTTGTCCTCACTGGGCCTGCCAGCATGTACTTGGACACCTGTGATACCCATGAAGTCAGAGGCCTGGAAGGACGTGCATGTCTCATGAGCAAAGAGAAAAACAGTGTCCGAGGTGAGGCCTGGGCTTTGGGCTGACTTGAGAAGTGATCCAGAGCTTCTGAGCGTCTTGGGACTGGAAAGAGGACCTGAGACCTAGCATGCTTTAGCTGGCTTTGGCTAAAGGCCCATGAGCCTTCCAGACCCCCTTAGCAACTCAAAGCACAGCATCGGGCCAAAGAGGGCTCTGGATTGCTTTCTGCCCCTGGGGTAGCTCAGATTCAGGTTCTGCCCCAGCGCTGATCCTTGCTTCCCCCGGCCTTGGGCACCACCGCACCAAACTCCTGGGCTTCCTAGGAACCCGTCCAACTGTGGGGAGAGGTCAGCATCCTACCGTAAGCCGGTGAATGTCCTGGGAGAGGAGCCCTATCTGCGTCACAGTGCCTTCCGAAGGTGCCATCTGTAAATGGGCAGCGGCCTGGTCAGCACACGTGGACACACCTTGTGATTCAGAGACGGCATGCAAGCCCTGTCCTATGTGGCCTGGCATCTCCGGGCAAGGAGTGGGCCAGGCCCTGAGGGGTGACAGGTGGGTGGTGTACATGCTGCTTCTGACCCTGGGGAAAAAGTATCTACTGCCCCATCACATGCACACACTCTGCTGGGATGCCACTGGCACCAGCATTCTTGGTACTCAGGGGCAGGGTAGAGAGAAGAACTGTCAGGAGTAGCCCTTCTGCACACGTCCAGTGGTCCAGACATTGCCAGGAGCACAGAGCAGAAAGGATGGGGAGCCCTCAGGATGCTGAACAGACTGACAAATGCCAGGCAACAACAGGACCCCAGTCACAGAAGCCCTGGTATTGGAGGGGGATTCCTCCCTCCCCATCAGGAGGGGCCAGGGTGCTGCTGCTTAGATTTGGAGGACATCAAGTGTAAACCTTTGTTTTAGAGGTGAGGAAACCGTGACGCCCACATCAGGAACAGGACGTGCTTGAGACTGCAGAGAGTTAGTGGCAAAACAATTCCATGCAGTGTTTAAAAATGGGAGCATGCAGAAATCCTCTTACCCGGGCCTCAGAAATAAGGGACAAAGCCTACTCTAAGTGACTCTACAACTGCAATGACCTGGTATCAGCACCTGGAGAGCACTGTCACTCAGTGGCCCTGGGTACCGGCATTGCCACCTATGGGCTTGTGCTCCCATCGCTCACCAGCTGGGCTTCAGGGGGAAGCACTGGCCTGAGAAAAAGATCATGCCTGAGGCTGCTGGCTGTTTATGAAGCAAATCTTAGCACTGTCTCCATCTGGGACAGAATCAGAGTGCCACGAAGGGGTCACCAGGCCCTGCCCAGACATCAGACAGTTATGACGCTGCTGCTATTCTGTAGATGAGGCCTTGGGGAGTCAGTGGAGCTGAGGGCTGCCCTGGGGCAAACTGGAATCTCATGAGCAAAAGCCCACATTGGCAGGGTGCCTCTCTCAGCCCCCGGCTGGCCAGACAAGGGCCATCTGGAGGAGCCATTATCAGCTAGCCAGCCTCTAAATCAGGAGCACAGATCTGCTTCAGCTCCTCCAGCCCAGGCAGACCGGCTCCACTACAGTCACGAGGAGCCAGCACAAGCACAAGAGAACAGTCCTCCTGGCAAGGCTGCACGTCTTGCCTCCTACCACCCCCTTCACTGGGTAGCTCGTGCCACCCAGTTGGAACAGAAGCCTGCTCAGGAGTGTGTGTGACAGATATGACCTACAGCCAGGATGTGAGTGAGACATGAGATTCCCCACCCCCTCACAGAGGGAGGTGGAGCCTAAGGCAGTAATGCAGGACACATCCCTCCTCTAAGGATATGAGGGAGGAGTTCCTTTTTGCTCTGTCCTACTTGGTGAATCCTGAGTGTGCACCTGGCCCAGGACCAGACACAGGTCCACTGGTTCTTGGACTGTGCAATCAATAGGACCTATCTCCAGTTGTGTCCAGTTCTCTTCTCCCAGTAAGATTATAGATAGGCTGCACTGTTGGCTCTCTACATAAATAGTATTTTTATTATCAGAAAGAAACAACCACCTCTGTATAAGGCACAGCATGATTACATTGTCACTGTGGCTGAAATCCCTGCTGCTGGTCCCTTTGATCGCAGCCAGGACTCTGTGGCCCATGGGTCTAAGGCACTTGAGCTTATCCCTCAGCAGAAGCAGAGGGGAGGTGCCTGAGAGCTGAGCCTCCTGGGATGGTCCACGGTCTCTGGACCTCTGTCCAACTTCACATGTGTCCACTGGTGCTAAAGATGGACATAAAGAATTACTAAAAACGTCCAAGTGTCTTTCCTCCTGAGTCCACCTTCGGCAACAGTCCCCAAAGCCTGGTCCCTTAGCAGAGGTGCAACTCCATATCCTGGCCATCCATGGGTTCAAAGAGAGCCTGGCCCAGGGGTACACAATTGCTGGGACGTTCTCTGCAAGTCATGCACATATGCAGGGGGTGTGGTGTAGTTACATGGTGACACACATGGCGTTACTTGAGCTCTCAGGGTGCAGAGAATAGGCAGGTGACAAGCGTATCAGCTAATCTGTCCCACCTGGTCCAGCCCATCCAGTTCTGGGGTGTCAAGGGGGCTGACTCCCCGATAGCCACTGTAGAGCCTGTGACTGTCACTGACACCATCCATGGGCTCCATTGGGCAAATGTAGTCCGTTGATTCATCAAACTTCTTTTTTCTTATGTTTCCAAAATGTGAAAATCCTAGTTTCCTTGGCTAAAAACACAGTAAAAGCAAAATAATGAGAAGGAGGATATGAAACCAGTGTGCAGATGTGACTAACTGTATGAGCAGACCCATGAGGAAGGGAATAGGCAACTACTTCTGGAAAAACTCTGGGCAAAACAGAGCTCCTGTGAGCAATCTCTAGGCCAGGGAAGTGCCAACAGGTAAATCATCTTGAACAAGAAGGGCTGCTCCTCTAAGACTGTGCCTGACACCCTGGCCCTACGGCCCCACCAGGACTTTCCGATTTCCCAAGAGAGACTGAGAGTTCCTACAGAATGCCACAGTCTGCACTCAAGGACTCACTTCAGCAAAGCTGCTGGCCTCCCATGGTGGCGGATGCTCATCCCCCCCATGCCCAGGGCCCTTGAAGGCCACCTTAGACAGCCCTCACTGGCTTTCCTCCTCTGCCCAGTACCACTTCTGCTCAACTTCCCCAGGCACATTCTGACCCACTCCCTTGGGAAGGAGTCTGTGCGTGAGTCGTGCTGGACCTGATGCATCAGTACACTGCTGGAACTCGGCCAGCCTGACTGTCAGATTCTGTCTGAGGACAGTGTGGCTTGTGCAGGTCTAGCAGGCTTCAGGGAGCTCAGTGAATGGTGCTCGTACCTGGATCTCAGTTTGGCTATGTGCTGTCCACCTCGGGTCAAGACACACAGGACCAGCTGCCAATAGGAGTACTCTGTGCATTGTTTGAACAGCTTTGACCAAGAACTGACAGTATGGTGGCAAGCAGGTGGGCCTGACTGAAAGGACCCATAGTCAGAACTAATCTTTCTTGAACTCAAGATTGGCAGGGATCTGACAAAGGCTAACAGACAACGGGACCATGGCAAAGGCTGAGAGCTGCCTGGTCCAGTTGTGCACAGTGGCTACACATGCAGGCTTCAAGCCAGGGGCTGTACAACATGAGGGGCTGGAAGGCAGGATCCTGTGGCTTGCCCAGAAGGGTCTGGCAACTCACCCGGACTTTGGCTGTGGTGGTCAGTGGTGTATAAGCTGGTGAGGTCATTTTCTCTCGCTTTTCTTGTTCAGCCTCAGGACCGATCAGGACATTGAATTTGGTGGTTAGGTGGCGTCTGAGGAGCGTCTTTTGTGGGGGGATATTGAGAAGCATGGCCAGGGTGTCTCCTGTGAAACGTGGTTCCAGGATCTAAGAAGAAACCACAGACAATGCTAACAAGCAGTGACCACAGATGGACCCAGTAGAGGGTGCTCAGAAGTCAGCCCATGGACCAGAGGGGCTGCAGCTCACCCATTTGCGCTATGCCCACTTCCCTGTTTCTGCCTAGCCCCAGCAGGCTCTGAGCAGATAGCAGCACATTTGTTGACCGACTATGTCATTTTCACAGACCAAGCAGAGAAGTGGGACCTTCTGATAAGGCTGTGTCCCTGAGTCTCTTCTGGACAGCATCCAAGCCACTCCTTCCTCATTTCTCCTCTGGCCCTGACACTTGACAGGGCTGAGTGGTGACAAGGCTCACATCAGGGCCAGCAGGAAGTTCCATCTTGATGGCCCCCTCCTTTTCTTAACCCCTGTCTTCTGAAATAGGTAGAAGTGCCTTGTTAAGGGTTGATCCTCATGCAACCCCACTGACCTTATGGTCTGTTGCTAAGGAAGTCGCTGCAGAAAGCATCTTGTTTCCAGGAGGTATATTAATTCTCAACCACAAATTATTAAAATATTTCCTATGAGACTTCAAGGTTTGCCTGAGTTTAAGATTAAGTTTCTATTTTTTTAATAGAGTTTATCTCTGGTCCTTAAGACATCAGTTTCTAAGGACTCCAGTTTACACTAAGACAGGCGGGCTGGTCCCAAGAGCCACTCACAATGAGACCTCCATGGACACCACTCCCTCGAAGGTTGGGTGCATACTCCGCCAGGTCCACGGATCGCAACCACTCCATCACCCTGTGGTTGGACCACTGCACAACTTCTGAAGGAGAAAGGTTACTCTGTGAGAGGGAGAAGGAGAGTGAAGAAGTTAGGCTTCTTGGGTCCCAGGGTGGTCCTCTGTGGAGTCAGCTGCTGTGAAAATCCCTGCTCAGTGTGCCTCACTCCTAGTGACCCAGGTCAGCCAGACCATCCACCTGACAGCCTTCCTAGTTTCTAAGAAATAGAATTCTCACCAAATTTTGCAGGATACTCTACATTGAAATGCCTGAATCCAGAATCTTCTTACTCTGATTTTCTGGGTAACACCGGGACAAACAAATGAAGGCATATAGTTACTCATTCAGGGATTTGGCAGAACTTTAACAGTGACTATCAGTCACAAGCCAAGTGCTTCAGAGACAAAAGATCTCCCTGATGTGGTCAAACATTTTAGGGGCACACACATTATGCCTAAGTCCCCTCATGTGGCACTGTGGTCTTCAAAATGGCCAGCACCGTGCCTGACATACAGAAGACATTCAAAACATATTTGCTGAATAGGGGGAAACAAGATGGGGACAGAGGTAGGAGTTGTTTTTGTTTTGTTTTGTTTTGTTTTGTTTTGTTTTAGATTTTTTGCCATAGGGCACATGCATGCGCCAATAAGACACAGAGAGAGACAGTGAGAGAGAAAGTGGGAAATTGCTCCATGGGGAGGTGGCCACACTAGAATCCCTTCTCCTCCATTCTCCTCTTGAAATTTTAGGCACACACACACACATGCCCAGCATGATTTTCAAGGCTGGACTGGAACTGTGGTCGGTCACAGAGGAGTCCAGCACCTTAAACCACCACACCACCTGCTGGCCCCCAGAGGTAGGGTTTTTCAATCCCTCAGGAAGCTGAGTTAATCTTTCAGAAAGATTTAGCTTAGAGACAGAGAAGATGGATGTGACTGATAGCCCTCCAGCTTCAACGCCCATCAGGAACTCTAAGGTCCAGGCACATTATCAGGTAGCTCAGCAGGCTTCAGGAGGCTGTGCTTACATATACTATGTCCTCTCTAGCAAGACCTGCTCAGGACCTCCTGTGTACTTGGGCTTGAAGGTTGAGTAATTTTGTATCAACAAGTAGGAAAACCTATTCTGAATTATGTTTCCAAACAGACTCCTCTTCTTCCCTTTTCGTCTCTTCAGTCTTTGACACACATCGTACCATTTTATCTTTCCCTCCCCCTTTCCTTGGCGCCATCTCTTTATCTCCCTTATGACCACTGTGAATGACTTGTTGCCAGTGTTCTCCGACCCCTCATGTGTGTCTTCCCAAGGAAGGGTGAGAGCTTGGGTGTCTCTGGTTGTCCTGAGACACAAAGTACAGGCAACAGCATTGTTTTGGGCACCCTGACCCACTACCAATGGAAGAATCCCAAGCGACATGATCCAAAATACAGACATTTTGTGATGATGTTGTTCTTGCTCTCTCACGCCACATATTTCAGGTGTCCTGGCTCACGGCTCCCTGAAGAGAGACTCTCTGGCCCTCACCTCGTCAGCTGGCCGCCGGTGCAGGCAGTGGGGATTGAACTTGTTGACATGCAGCACGTGGATGGCACATTTGATGCTGAGATGATGTAGCTGGCTGGTGACTTTCAAGAAGAGTAAATCATTCTGGAAAAGGAGAGTTTTGGCTGATGAACCAGAGTTTCCAAAGTGAGGTACCTTTCCAGCCCAAATGCAGACAAGACTATCGCACCTCAGGAAGATACACATGGATGTGCCAATAAGTCAGCTTATCACAAAGGTTTTATTCTGCTACGTGGGACCTCATATATGATAAGCAATACTATTTCCAGGCCTTAAGAATATGAAGGAAGAGAAGGAAGCAAGTTTAAAATGATCACTATGGATAGAGCTGAGTTCAGTGCTCAGAGAAAGACAGATCTTTAAAGGAAAAGGCCTCACCACAGTTAAATACTGCAGCATTCGTCCATCAACTCTGGATTCATGAAATTGGTCCTTATATTGGGGTAGGCCAATATCGTCAAGCCACCCTACAAATACAGAAAAAACAGACATGTCAAGATAAATGACAGTAAGAGAATAAGGATGTCAGAGGAAAAAAAAAAAAAAAAAAAAGACTAACTGTCCTTTTGGGGCTCCAGTTTTATTCCCAAAATGGTTTAGCAATCCCTCTGCCTTTCATAAGGAAATAGCTATCCTTGAGGCACACATTCAACAGGAAATTCTTTCTGCCCTTAGCAACTGTCAGAAACATGCTGAATACACATAAGCCTGTCCTTACGTGTCACCCAAATGTGGTCTAGCAGCGCAGACTTCTCTTCCTGCTTGGTATTGATGGCTTTTACGGCTAAAATCAGCTTTTTCCTGTGAAGAGGGTGTTTGATCCCTAGCTCCTGAAATTAAAAGATGAAGACCAGATGTCAAATTCTGGCAGGCAATTTGGCCCTCAGAGGATGCCACGTCTGGGTGGTGATGCTCCGAGCTGGTGGCAGTGGCTGCCCTGGGCCCTGGGATGTCAGAGGGAATCAGTGACAGCTACAGATGGAATCTAGGCCTCTCTGCCCACACTCCTGTGTGTGTGTGTCATGAGGGAGTGGGGAACCTTCATCATCCCATGCATTGGTTTGGGAGCAAACGGGAGCTTCCTCACCCTGAGCTCAGACCTTACCTTTTCCATGTCCTGAGGGGTAGCTGTCAGTAACGTGTGGCCAGAAGACACCCACTGCCTGGCGAAGATTACGTACTGAGCCAGGCCGAAGTCCTCCAGCCAAGTACACACACGCTCTGTGTTCCACTGGGCAAAGGGGGCGTTGGCGTCACTAGGAAGCAGGAAGACAGCGTGCTTCTGTTAGTGAGGACACTTTAGGTCTACTATATAATATTAACACGGTCTCACAAGAAAGGAACTTGGTTTTCCTTTTCTTTTTGCTATTAGGTATGTGCACTCGCCAGAGAGAGAAAGAGAGAAATTTCCTCCCAGGAGGGATGACCATACCCTAGTCCCTTCTCCTTCATTCTCTCCTCGAGATCCTGAGCATGCACACACATGCATCTGGCATATTTTCTAAGCTTCCAGGACTCGAACTACACACTCAGCCATTGGGATTCAGCCACCTTGACCACCATGCCACCTGGCTGGCCCAGAGTTATATTTTTTTAACAACCAATCTCTATCATGGGTTTCAGTTGAATAAAATTCTGCTCAACACATTCATTCAAGATAGACTCTGATAACACATGAGTTGAGTTTAAAATAGTCAGCTACTGAGAGTATGGGACAGCCTAGGTGACCCTACTAAGGCCAGGTTTACATGTCACAGGTCCACATGTGACACAGCCCAGACGTGGGGCACCACAAGATGAAGACTCACAGCTGAGTCACCTTTCTACAAGCATCACACTCTTTTTAGGAAAATTCCTAGAAAACTAAGGGTTTTAGAAAATAGGGTCAATTCTTTAACGTTTAAAAACAAAACAAAAAAGAAAAAGAAAAACTTTATGATCAATAACACTTAATACCTTGTTTCAATGATACTCTAGCGACACTAGCATTGAAGTCAATAAAAACACAGTTTTTTAAAAATCACTGGTCTGAGGGTTGTAGCCAACATAAGAGACAAAATAAAGGAGTATAGCTATTAGAAATGCAGAAATAAAAAGAAGCCATTCTTTTCAGATGACAAGACTGCCCTAAGGTCACTCGTAATAAAATACGCACACATACGTACACAATGTGTATGGTACAAACAAAAAGCAACAATTTTCTACATAGAGTCAATGTTTGTGTTAAAACACTTTAAAAATTCTACTTATATAACCATAATTATAACATGTGTAGGAATTGCCTTAACCAGGAAGGTGTGGGCTCTGCAGGGCTATGTGGGAGTGGGGAGAGAGTTGGTAAGTGCACACTCAACTGAGCAACATAAAAAAAAAGATAAAAATAAATGAAGAGCCAGATCATGTTCCTAGACAGGATGACTGGGTATTATAAAGCCATCAATTCTTAAAGACATAAATGTTTCATTCAAAGTATGAATACAGGGGGCCAGCAGATGGCACAGCAGTTATGTTGCTAGACTCCCACATGGCCAACTTCGGTTAGAAAATCACAAGGGGTGAATGTGTGCATGCAGGAGAATGGAGGAGAAGGGGTGGCCATCACCCTCCCCCCCCCCGGGGGGGGGTTTTTCCTTCCCTCTCTCTGTCTCTCTCTCTTTAGGGAATACATGCACCCGAAGACAAAAACCTCGCCAAACAAACAAATAAACAAAAGTATAAATAAAATGGCATACTAAGAATAAAAAGTGGGGGGACTGGCAGGTGGTATAGTGGTTGAGGGTGCCAGATTCCCACATGGCTAATAGCAGTTCAAGTCCCAGACCTGACAATTTGCTTTCTTACTTTCTCTCTCTCTCTGTCCCTCGCTGGTCAAATTAAAATAAATAAATAAAGTTAAATAAAATAATTCTTAAATAAATAAGTGGACATCTGTGGAATAATAATAAAAAAGTAGATATTCAGAAATAATCCTTTTACGAAAATACTCATAACTTGCTAGATCAAGAAAAATTGTTTTGAATGCTAGGCTGTTTCTTTCTTTTTTTTTTTTAAACTAGCCAGAGGGAGTGTGTGTTTGCCAGGGAAAGACAGAGACAAAGGGAAAAGGAAGGAAAAAATCACCCCCAGATGCGGTGTGGTCATGTTGCAATCCCTTCTCCTCCATTTGCCCATCGAGTTTTTATGTATACATGCCTGGTATGTTTCCATGCCACAGGGGCTAGAATTCAAACTACAAGAGTCAGTCATTTGAGATTTGGCTCCCTTAACCACCAAGCCAGCCCCTCGAGCTGTTCTTAAAGTAAGAGAATTCCTTCCAAGGTCAGGATGACAAGAAGGTACATTTTAGAACAAATGCTAGAAATGCTCTGTAACCTAGATAGATGCTGATCACTAATAACCTGGAGCCTGAGTCTTAATGGATCCTAAAAAGGTGCAAATCCCCGGGACCAGCAGATAGTATAATGGTCACTGAACTCCCATGTAGTAGGCCGTGGTTTGAGTCCCGGACCCAGTAGCTTAAACTCAAGCCAGGCCTGTGTGCATGTGTGCCCAAGATCCCAAGAGAGAATGCAGGAGAAGGGATCGTGGTGTAGCCATCCTCCCTGGGGTTGGGGGGAGGGGGGTGGTGATTTCTCGTTTTCTGCTTCTCTGTCTCTCTCTCTCTGGCGAGTACACATACCCTATAGCAATGCACGCTATAGCAAAAATCTCTTTAAAAAAAAAAAAAAGAAAGTACAAATCCAGGCTTTATAAGGCCAGGAACTTATAAAATTAGGAGTATCTTCTATAAGAAAAGTACAAAATTTGAATATATTAATAGAATTGGAAACAAAGTGTATATTTAGAATGAGAAAACAAATCGCAAAAAAATTACAAATTTAACCAAACTAAAAAATAAAATAAAATTCAGAAAAACTAATGTTTTTATTCATTAACTCCTAGCCCTATATCTAAGAGTTTTTATATGTTGGGTGCTTTCTCTTTATTGCTTCTTCTTATGTCCACGTCTCTAAAATATTTGCTATAAAAAAGGAAGGTGGAGGGACCAGCAGTTAGCATAATGGCTATGTCGCTGGACGTAGTCGACCGTGGTTCGAGTCCCGGACCCAGTGGCTTAAACTCACGCCGGGCACGTGTGCATGCGTGCCCAAGATCCCGAGAGGAGAATGGAGGAGAAGGGATTGTGGCATGGCCATCCCCTCTGGGGGGTGATTTCTCGCTTTCTGTCTCTATGTCTCTGTCTGTCTGGCGAGCGCACGCACCCTATAGCAAAAACCTTTCCAAAAAAAAAGGAAGGTTGATTTATTTATTTTTTTTTAGTATGACTGAATCAAATAAATCAAATACTTATTTTTATTATGATGATTTAAAAAATTTTTGGCCCTATAATTTATCATTGGTACTATCATTTGTATTTTTTAATTTGTTTAATTTGGAGCCAAGAGGTAGCATGGTGGTTAAAAGTGCTAGATTCTCAAATTTTCAACCACAGTTGGAGTTCAAGACCTGACGGCTTGCTTTCTCACTTCCTCCCTCTCTCTCTCCCTCCCTCTCTCCGTCTCTGTCTCTCTGGTGAGTGCATGTGCCCTACAGCAAATTAGTAATAATGAAGATAATAAAAAATAAAATTAAATAATTCCTTTAAAAAATTGTTTAATTTGAATTTAAGAAAACCTCTACCACGTGTGTTTCATATTTAAGCAGTAAAACAGCATAGTGTTTAAGTTTTCTAGCACTGTGGATAACCTTAAATGTTCTTTGAGTGGTTAATATTCGTTAGCCAGTGTGTTGTCTATGTTTATGCGGTAGCAGCATGAGTTTTATATTATCTTTGTTGATATCACTATATCATGTATAATCAGCCAGAAATGGCTATCTTTTTCCAATGTGTTCATATGATTCACTTTATGTGAACAACCACCTGGGAATCTATTCACTGCTTCTGTTTAAAATTTATTTCTTGCTCTTGTTGAATTTTGTTTTATTTTAAATTTATTTATTTATTTTACATTCATTCACTATATGTCATTACTGCATACAAAATGAGTTTTCCCAACCAGAATACACTGTATACTGACTCAATCAAAGAAATGACCATACATGTTATTGTCAACAAATAATTTTCCATTTCTTGTTCCTTATATATTTTACTTCTCCCCCCTCTCTTGATTCCCTACTTCTTATCCCTTTAGGTATAATCTGGCCCTTTTATTTGTTAATAATTTGTTTGTTTGGCTTAATTTTTTTAAGAGAAATTTTTTTGCTATAGGGCACATGCACTAGCCAGGGAGACAGAGAGACAGAAAGTAAGAAATCAGTTCCCAGGGGAGATGGCCGTGCTGCAATCCTTTTTCCTCCATTCTCCTCTTGGGATTTTGGCACACATGTGTATGCACCAAGTGTGAGTTTCAAGCCGCCAGGTCCAGGACTTAAACCATGGTCAGTCATGTGGGAGTCCAGCACCTTAACAATTAAGCCACCTGCTGGCCTTTATAATTTATTTCTTAATGTTAGAGTAATTTCCCTGAATTATAATGCCCATTTTATCACTTCAATGTCAGATTCTATCACATTTTGTTCATGTTCTTCCTTCTGAAAAACGGGAACAAAGCACACATCTTAAATATCAAAGGGACATTTCAGTTCCGAACAACAAATATTTCTGAGTTCATAATTTTTAAAAAACCTTCATCATGTAGTCCTTTTAAAAACAACCTAAAGCTTTGGTCCTCATCTCCGGTCATCTCCCATTCCGTTTTGTGAGATCTCTCCTCTCTCCTAAGACTTGTGTTATGTCAGCTGACAGAGTGAAACCCCAGTCTTCTGCACCTCCTCAGCTTCTCTGAGTGCCAGCATCACCCGCACCCTCAGCCAGGGTCATGGCCAAACATAAAAGGGAAAACTCAGAGATGACAGAGAAGGTACCCTGCATACACAGCCAAACCACTTGTTTTACTGACATGTTCTAAAACATCTTTCCACATTTCAGTTAAAATGATGCAACTGAGATTTATTGAATATACCATTGTGTGGTAGGTGAAGAGCACAGGGTGCATGTGTAATTGCCCATACTTCATTAGCAAGTACATTCCTGACAGGCCAGAACTTCTGTTTTGACTAAGCAGCTCAGAGAACCAACTCTCCTGCTTACAGTTTTGCAGATCTGATGACTGGAAAGAATTCCACAGACTAGCTTCTGGTTTTGTGCATTTGGCCTGTTGTTTTGTTTTCACGCCCTCATCCTTCTGGTATCGGGTGCCAGAAGACACATTCCTATCAGGACTTGACCTGTGACCATGCATCTTAGTTTCAGTGTCCTGGGCAAATTGGAGCAATAGGAAGTAGGAGTAATCTTGGAAGCCCTCTGTACACAGGGACAACTAGTTAATTAAAAATAACTAAACAACATATACAGTAATTGTAATCCACACACACATACCCCACTAAACCCAAACTATGTGGATCCCCAACTCCAATTCTTCTAAGCCAGTTCCCAAAAATATCCATGGCTTTTCTTTTTTCTTTTCCAAATTTGTTTTTATTGAATTTAATTTTTTAATTTTTTAAATATTTTATTTTATTTTGTTCTTTTTTACAATTAAAGTATGAATTTCTTTTTGTACAAAAACTTTTTGAAATTCATACATATTTTTCCCATTACACATATTTCCATGAGCTTCCTTTTTTTTTCCTGAAACATTTTTTCTTAATTAATTAATTTACATTCATTCCCTGAGCATCGTCACTGCATACACAATGTGATTTCCCATCCAATATACTGCATGGTGGCTTAATCATGCATGTTTATTGTCAATATAAGGGAGAATGTACCCCAAGTAAAAGTTGAGATAAAAGAGTCAGCTTGCTATCTTAAGACTGGTTGTGTTGAAAACACCTTATTTATGCAAAATTTTAAGACACCCAGCCCTGAACCTCTCTGGATGCTGGAAAGGGCAATGGCTCGTGAATCTGAAGCTCCTCACAGTCATGATAAATCTGTCTCTGATCAGGAAATGGCAATAAAATAGCAATAAAATAGGGCCTATCGCAGAGAAGAATGCTGACTGGAGGCCTCTCATGAAGACGGTATCTTGAAGGCCAATTCGCTCAGATCAACTCAGTAAACTCCCCCACAAAGATGAGATCTGGCAGCGTGGCTCCAGAACTTGCTTTTCTTAATTAAACACTGCGCTTTACTGCCTTTTCTTGAAAACGATAACTCATAATAAAATCTCATATTGAAATAAATCCCTAAATAGATTCAAATATAGTTGTTTTAAAAATCATGGAACAGGGGCCAGCAGGTGATGTGGTGGTTGAGGCATTGGACTCCCACATGGCTGGCTGTGGTCCAAGTCCTGGACCTAGTGGTTTGAAAATCATGATGGGTTAATATGCATGCATGCCCAAAATCCCAGGAGGAGGATAGAGGAAAGGGGATTGCAGCATGGCCAACCCTGCCGGGGAGGGGGTGTGATTTCGTGCTTTCCTTCTCTGTCTCTCTCTGGTGAGCACAAGCACCTGTGTCAAAAACCTAGGGGAAAAAAAAAAAAAAGAAACAACTTAAAGCAAGAGTGAAAGAAATCAGAAAGTCAAAGTTGAAAAAACTCGTTATGCACAAACCTAAAAATTCCATATATCAAAGTACCACAAATAAAAGCAAAATTCTGCCACAACCTGAAAATTATTGATCAGACGTGGCCTAATACCTTAATATGTAGGAATGAACAGAAATCTAAAAGAAAGATATTAGTAATTTAAAAATAAGTTAAAAGTACAGACAATTCAACAAATGATTAAAATGACAAACATGAAAGTGAAATTAACAATAAAAGTGTAACTCTTGGAGGTCTACAAAAGTACAGACATTTACACCAAAAAAAAAAAAAAAAAGAAAGAAAAAAAAGAAAGGAAATATAACACAGACAGGAATGTGGGGGTAGTAGGCACTCTCCCTATAGCAGTGCTGATTGCAATGTAAATCAATAAAACCGTATCTGGGAGGAAGAAAGACAATACAATTTGTTCTCCCATAATCTGAGAAAGAGTTCCTATAAAATGCTATTGTCAAATATTATATTTTTTGAAAAACAATTATTTCATTAGAAAAAAGAAAGACTGGAGTTGGAGGCTTTCAATAACAAAAGTACTTTTCCTAGAATTTTAGTGACAACTTTTTTTTAAAGCTATACCTAAATAGCTATAAATAGTGGAGGACATTAGCATATAATTATATCAAATTTCCGCTTAAGAGTACTAAAGGCCTTTCTTTTCCACCCAGCAAACACATTTTTGTTACCATAACCACTGTTATGATAAACATCACAATCTCAGCAGGACTGCACTGTTATTCCCTTTCTAATCCACTGTTATGGTTAATGAAGCACAAGGACATTCGAACAAAGCAGCCCTAAGGCTGGAACTGCAGTTTTTGTCTTTGGCAGAGAAAACTCCTGACACTGGTTACCCCTATCCTACAGTGACTGGCAGAAGGAAAGGGAATCCCCAACCAGGCAGCTCTACTCTTGTACTGTAAAAATGCCTGAGAGTTTTATACAAGTTTCTATATCCTGACCCAGTGATTGCCCTTCTCAAATCACTCTTAAGGAAATAGCCAGAATTAGAACAAAGATGAATCACTCCAATTTATGGTAGCTTTATCTTTCTTTTCATTTCAGAAAAATCAGAAACCACTGTAATCTCTACAGTAAAGATATCACTAAGAGAATTAAAGCATCGAACTTGGAATACATAGGTAAGCTTACTTTGGCTTTCTAAAAGCTCTAAATAGATCTCTGACTTCTCAGCCCAAGTCCCTAAATCCTCTAGCCTCCAAGGGCTACTAGCATTTACTGAGGTTTACATTTGCAATCAGAAGTGTGAGCACCACCCTCTTTGACCCTCGGGGAGCAGGCACAAGGGTTCTACATATCCTCACTTCCTTTTCAAGGCACCAGGAGTATAATATAGGTCTGGGGATACCCATCAAAGTGCAGTGGATCTGGAAAGGTACAGTGTCTCACACACCAGGAGTACCTGGCAAAGCTTCCAACCCGAGGGTAGCAGTCCAAGAAAGAGTATCTTCGCACTCATGCGCACAAGAGTTAAGGTTCTGGGCTCTTTGGATGCTCTGGGACTCCACTCTGAACCTCACACAGCTCTTTGCAGATGGACTGAGGGAAGCTTACCTTTTCTGCCCTTTAGGATCTCTAGTCCTAGAGAGTCTTGGCCCTGCAGTCGCCCGGAGCCCACCTCTTCGAAACTCTGCCACCCCTGGTGCATCGGTATTGAAATTTCCTGACTGAGTTCTTCGGATTCTGTGTGGAAAAAAATTCACAGACTATCAGGAGACAGCCTGAAACGTTGGGGTCGGAGCAACCCCTCCTTTACCAGTCCATGTAATCGCCAGACACTGAGGTCTGCACAGCACTGCTTCCCAGTGGATTCCCAGAGATCACGGGTCACGACTAATGACAGTTTCTCAGCCAGACTCAAGCCTGGCTCTGGGACTTGGGCCACTCCTGTGTAGTCAAGGTAAAGGATGATGCCTAGCAGGAGGCCCCAGTTTCTGCTTCATATCATAGACTAGATCAGCTGGGCCAGTAAGTACTCAGCTTTCCATCTTCAAACACAAACTAACTTCTAAGGAGGAATCCATTCTCATCTGAGTCTCTTCCGAAGCCTGTATGGAGTATAAGCTGCAGAGAATGTACTCAAGGTATATGGGATGGATGGATGCCTAGACAGAGTGAATGTGAGGCAACCAGCTCTCTTTAATGAGTATCTTTCATACTTCTTCTCTGGGCCCTGAAAAATAATTCAGATTCTTTCTAAACATGACCACACTGTTTATTGCTATGTCAGTGTGAGATGAATCAGCAGCTTACACCGACTCTTTACCTAATCAAGAAGGAAATCAATTCCAAGCAATAGAATGATGATCATTACCACCGACTTACTTTCCCCAGAATTTCTTGATGCCTCTGGGGCTCCGTTTACCATCTGGCGTCAGGGGAGACTGGGGCCCTGACTCAGTGCCCGATGATGTGGACGAGAGATCATTAGTCATGGCGGCGTCGTCCCAACCACTTTCTGTGTCTCCTGAGGTTGAAGGGATGAAATGATGTGTGAATGAGAGTAAGAGATGTGACTTTTGGAACCCTTCTCCCCCAAAGCCTGGGCCATCCTTCAATGGGAGTTGGGGAGAATCTGCACAGTTCTGCCTTTGAGGCAGAACTCCATACCAAGATCTGAGAGACCAGCAAAGGCTCAGGCATGCTCCAGGTCTTCTCTCTGAGGAATTAGTAAGTTCGATGCTGCTAATATGGGTAGGCTAATGTCTTCAAAGTCTAAGGGTTGGGATCCAAATACTTGTGGATTGTATTGCTTGCCCTGTTTTCTCACAGGGAGATGCCGGAATGCAAAAGGAGAGGGAGGTGTTAGGACAGGGAAACCAAAGCATTCTCACTCTCCACCTCACCTGGAATGGGTACAGTACCTAATATGGGGGCACTGACACTCCGGCCACGATCTCCAGCCAACCAAGAAGCAGAGAAGCCACATGAAGAAACAAGAGAGGCCAAAGTCCAGCCCAACAGAGTTATGGGGGAGCAAAGAAATAAACAAAAGAGTGTCATCAAGCAAGAGAGAAAAACTCAAACAGAAAGAAAAATAATCCCACAAAGAAGGAGGGGAAGATGGTGACTGAGCTGGGTCCATAGGGTCAGTATCCTGAGACAGGGCCTCACATGAGACATCATAAGCCTCCTAATGCCACTTTCTGACAGGAGAGGCAGAGGCTGAGTACACTGGGTCACCCATGTCTCAGGTGTAGGTACCAGGGCTCACTCAGCTAGACTAGCAAGAGCTGAAGCTGCTATAAGCCCAATCTGAGTGTCACCAGAACGTAACCACTCGAGGGGGCACTTGGGCTCCTACCGCCAAGGTTAGAACTGGCCTTTATGAAGCTGGCCACAGGCCAGCTCAGGCAACAGTGGGCGGGGTCAGCAATAGAGACAGCTCTTGCCAGAACCAGAACATTTCCTGCTGGGCTTCCATAGTTTGGGGAACATTTCCTAACACCAAAAGGATACCTGTAACTGAAATTCTTGCTAACTGGCCATTGGCTCCATTTGCCTAAGGAAATGCTCTCACTTGGAAGAGCACACGCTATGATCTTACTGGTAATAGAGGCTGCAGAGAAGAGGCAGAGACAGGAGAAAGATCAGAATAGCAGAGAGGGGAGAGGGAGGGACAAGAAGGGTGTCTTTAAGAGAAAAGGAGAAGAGGAAAGTTGGGAAGAAAAGGAAGGGATTCAAGTGAGAAGAAAGAGAAGAGGGGGAAATGGGGGAGGGGTAACTGCACCTGGGGAGAAATAAGATCATACACACCTGTTTTTCTGGGACTCTGAAGTGTTAACCTTAGGAAATAGCTGACCTAGACAGGGAGTCTCTAGAAGGGGGGCCACACTTGTCCAAGCCACCCACCCTTCTCATCCTCCAGTTGTGGGCTATGGCAGGAGGTGTAGGGATCTCATACAATAATTGGAAGAGCCAAGAACCTGTTCTAGAGGCCACCAGCCCAGGGGCTAAATACTCACTCAGCCTTAGCAGGTTGCTCCCTGTTGGGTCAGGTTGGGAGGCTATAGGAGTAGCTTTGGTGGCCTCCCCATTGAGTGTGGCTCCAGAAAGCTTCCCAGGTAACGTGGGGTATTTCTGTTCTGCCAGGAAAGGGCTGTCCTATTGGAAGAAGAGAGAAAGAGAGAGATACTGAATTAGCATCATTCTTAGACTCTAATCCAGTTAGGAAATGCTTAGCTAAAGGAATTCTGTTCTCACAGAGCCAATTTTCCCTTACACTGATTACAAGACTCCTCCAAGATCAGTTGGCCTAGGCTGAGAAAGAGGACCAAAGCTCCAAGAAAGGAAGAAATTTACTGAAGGCCACACAGTGACACAGGAACAGTGTCAAACCCAATCCAGGGCTGACTCAACAGCCTCTAAGCAAAAAGTAGAGGTCTCTTGCAAAGGGGACCTCTGCCATTTGGCATAGTGCTCGAGGCTCAATGAAGTAGCAGCCATGAACTACTCTTTGAACTGTGAATAAACAAACCACAATTCTTATAAAAGCTACTGTGTCTTACACACACACACGCGCACACACACACACACTATCATGTAAGAGAAGACAGCTTTCCCTCTTCTCAGACTCACTTCCCTACGATCAGTAGAGAGGTATTTCTGTTCAGTGGGCCCCTTGCTGAGACCGGCCAGGGCAGATCTCTGTAAGAACTTGACCAAGTACACAAATTATACGTATCTTGGCTGAGAGAAGACTCTGCTACACCAGGCGGATTAGAGTTTAACTTTAGAGCAAAAGAAAGACCTGGGAACTGCTGACTGTGGGTGGGAGTGTTCAGAAAGCTGAGAAAACTGAAGGGCATCATGCCGAATGTTATGTAAGAAACACGGGAGGGGGACGGGCTCTCTAAAATGGGTTTCTAGTTGCCCTAAGCAATGGCCAAACACTAAGGCTAGGGGTGCTACAGGAAGATTCTGGAATCTGCAGAGCGGTCCTGGGGAGCTCCGTGGTACACGTATGTATAAGGAGAACAGTGGCCACGCTGAACTAACTGAAGCTCACAAGACTATGATTATAGACCAAGTCCATTAATAATCAATAAATGGTCTTTCTTCTGAAGAGTCCCAGGTCACTCACATTTCTTGGTAATCACATTAGCATCTTAAAGTTTGAGACCAGCTGGTGGTCACAAAGACATGCTTTATATACAGCCGTGAGTGAGTTCTGAGCCATAAGGAGAGAGACTACTGAGCAAGTGACATAATGGAGCAGTCTCCATGGGCTACCTTTCAATTTACCAAAGGACCACAGGGACCCTGGGCTCAAGGCACTGTGGGTCTGGAGCACTAGGACAGGGGCACAGAGAGTGGCAGTGAAAGCCCATTATATACCTGGATTCACATACAAATAAAATGCAGGGGGCCGGGGGGAGCTTTGTGTTTCTTCTTGCCCTCTTGCCCCTATGGTTTACATATTCAAAGGCCACAAAGTTATTTCTTACTAAATTGCATCACTCTAGCAAACAGTGCAACCACAAATAGGTGAAAGGGACATAAAGCTAACATACCTTGGGTTCTGCCACTGGAGAGAGCTGGTTCCCATCAATGCACTATGGAGTGACAAAAAGGAATTCAGTTATGTGGAGAAAAAGAGACCTGTGTTAGTCACAAACAACTCGGGACCACCTGCTGCTGAAATCTGAAAGGTTCAAGCAAACCCTCTCTCTTCATTCATCTTCATATCAGGTCATCACCAGCCACGTAGGAAACAGAGGCTCCTGCCCAACCCTGTGACATGTCCTGGGGATCTGCAGCAGAATGGCCAGGGAAGCGAGATGCACACAACCATGGGAACAAAGCCACTCCCGTGTGCCCATGGCTCCTGCTGACTCTGGCCTTCCTGGTTCTCTACTGTGTCTCCGGGGAGACTGGCACATTGCTAGATACCAAAGGCTGGTGTGCGGCCGGGGCTCACTGAAGGACCTCTACCAGCACAGGAGCCCTAGGTCTCTAATAACTATGCTCATGAGCATGCAACCCTCCCCTTCAGTGCAGGGTTCCCACAAGTGATCAAGGGCTGTCCTCGGATAAGGAGCCACAAAGTTCTCCTCACATCTTCCTAGATTTTATAGTTTTGTTTTGTAGAAATTTTTTCTATAGAGTGTGTATGCTCACCAGAGAGATGGAAAGAGAGAAAGTGAGAAATCACCCCCTCCTCCCCCATGGGGATGGCCATGCCACAGTCCCTTTTCTTCCACTCTCCTCTTGAGATTTTGGCCACGCACACACATGAGCCCAGCATGAGCTTTAAGCCACTGGGTCTGTGACTCAGACCATGGTCAGTCATGTGGGAGTCCAGCACATTAACCACTACGCAACCTGCTGGCCCCTCTTCTTAGAGTCTTTAAAGGCTGCCTCTCTAGTCCTCTAAATTGTCCCAGATCTTACTCACAGAGTCATCTCCTCTATCCACATTACTTCTTTATTCAAAACCTCTGCAATGCCCCAAAATACCCTGGGGAGATAGGGCTGACATTCAAGATCTTCTTGGCTTGAGCTGACTCCTGGTACTGACCTCACATCCTGTCCTCCACCATTTCCAAACACCTGCCTGTACCCAGCTGACTCTATCCAAGCCTCTTTCCACCTCGACATCTCTTATCAACCCCAGACAGCATTTTCTAACTTACCCTGCCTCTAGAATGCCTTGGGCTACACCCTTCTGGTTTTCTCAATGTTCATATCATTCCTACCTCCCTGGCAACTTTATGAAAGCCTTGAGGTACGGACCAGGACGCTGCCTACATACCCCAGCATTGTGCTGGGCCCAGAGTACCTAGTAAGCTTTATGAACAGCTGGTCAGCTGACCTTATTCGCAGACTCGCTTCTCAAGTCTTCTAGACTACTGGAGAGTTTTTTCTGAGCCCTGAGAAAACATAAAAGGAAAGTGAACAAAGAAATACTTACTAGAGAAGGAAGTACATGGTACTATTCACACGGAAGACATTTAGATGTTTCAAATGCTTAACAAGTAGTCAGTCTTGGCCTTAGGTCAAGATTGGGGGAAATATTAGCCTTTCATAATAGCCATTACATACAGGATGAGACTGGCTCACCACAGAGGACAGTCTGCTCCAACAACGTGTTGATCAAGGCATGAGGGCATCACTTAAATCCCAATGAAAAGTGCTTGGTGTTACTCAGAAAACCAGAATACACTCAATTCCACTCCACGAATGGGAAGTGACTATTGTGGGGTTGTAAAAAAGGTCAATGTATACAGAGTCAATAGAGGCATAGATATTGGTTTTTTTGTTTGTTTGTTTTTTTAGACGTTTTTTGCTATAGGGTGCATGCACTTGCCAGAAAGAGAGAGAGAGAGACAGAAAGAAAGAAAGCGAGAAATCACTCCCCAGGGAGATGGCCACGCTGCAATCCCTTCTCCTCCATTCTCCTCTTGGGATTTTGGGCATGCATGCACACACGCCTAGCATAAGTTTAAGCCACCGGGTCCGGGACTTGAACCGTGATCGACTATATGGGAGTCCAGTGACATGGCCATTATGCCAACTGCTATTCCTGATGCTGGCTTATTGACTCTAAGAGAAACCCAGAGGGAAGGAGTTGGGCTTCCTCAGAGTAGAGAGGGCACCCCAACCAACCATCACTTCACAGCATCACTGCTCAGATCCTGCCTCCCTCCACTCTGGCACTGTATGCCCTGTGCGGCCTACCCAGAGAAACTCTGCTTTCCCCAGGGCTATTTCACAGAGAAGAGCACCAAATGGGCAGAGAAGAGGCAATGCCACCAGTGACCACAGGGTTGGATAACCTTGTGACTAGTCTTGTCAGAAATATGTCTCAGTTTATATGCATAAATCAGCATCTTTTATACATTAGTCTCTTGTGAGTCTAGTCACAGTTCCTCAGTGTGGCTTTATTCTGAGTGAGTGCACAAGCCAAATTTTTAATCTGCAAAACTGAGGACTAGCCTATCACCTTCTCTAACACTGTCATTTTTCTCTGTGGCTAACGCCGCAGGGAAACAACCACTTTCTGGAGAGCGGACTCTGAGCACAGGTTTAGGCACACTGGAGGTCCAGCACCACTGAGGAGGCTCCCATCACACTTGTAGCTGCCTCTCTTGATACCTAGGCCGAAAGAGCCGGTCCATAGTGGTGAGACCTCCGTATTTCTCTTCATGGCTCAGCTTCCCGGAAACAAGTTCTAAACTGCTGACACAGAGAACTAGAAATGGATTCATTTGAGGGAATCAGACAGGTGGCAGCCAAGTGACTACAGAGGCCAGCCCATTATAGGCTGATCTTTATGTGAAGTACTCCCAAAGCCAGTAGAATAACTTCCCTGGGAGGAGAAAGGGTCCTCCTGTAGTGGCCATAGGCTAGATTCACCCCAAAAGTAGAAAGGGCATTCTGGAAAGGCAGACAGAAACAACAGACACATCCTGGGGTGCTCTCAGCTCCAAGGAGCCCCTGGAGGGCATGAATGAGTTTCTGCCACCTCTCCTCTAAGAAGCCAACACACAGCCAGGTCCTTCTGGGGCAATGATGCAGACCCCTAGTCTATGGGAAGGGAAGTGCACCTATGGCCAGGAGAGGTGAACCTACTGTGTGAGTGCTCATAAAAGATACAGTGGCCGTGCTCACCACACCAGGCCTGTCACCATGCACTTCAGGAGCCCTCAGAGAGGCTGAGGGCACAGAGGCTGCAAAGAAGAACTCAGGTCTCCTACCTGGTTTCCAGTGATTTCTGTGGCAGTGGAGGTGGCCCCACCATGGGAGAGCTGCACCTTGGTGGCTTCTGCACCAGAAACAGAAGAGTCACAATGGAGGACAGTAATTATTGGGAGCCACCCACCATCTTTTCTCCATCTTTGGACAATTCCTTTGGGAGTTGTATTTCTGCCCTGGTGCACAGCCCTGGTGGATACATCAGTATGGGTTTCATGCTCTTTCAAGATGCCAAGAGAGTAGGCATATCAACCCATTTGGGCCTTCCTGCACCTCAGACCTTAGACAAAATTCCAGTCCTAACAATAGTCTTGAGACCTGGGTCCCTGAGCTTTTGCTGCTCCTGCCCTTTCTGGTTCTTTATCTTTTCCTTTCATTCAGTGAACCACTGTGCACCTTTCAAAAACACTCCCTTTTGGCTTAGGTTAGCCAGAGTCCATTTCTGTTGCTTGCCATGGGAGAACCCAGGCTGACAGTCACTCAGCAACTCTGCTGCCTGTGTCCCATGTCGGCTGTGGAGCAAGCACTCCCCACATCAGAAGTAAACTAGGATAAAAGAACACCGCCACTTGTCCTCATGGCATCCACCGCTGTAACAAGATGAGAACGGGAGGGAGGGGAAGGCTCCCTGTGGTGGTGGTAAGGCTGGGAAGGCTCAGAGGAAAGAATGTGTGAGCTAGATCTGGAGACCTGAGAATGGGCTCGCCGAGAAGGCATTGCAGGAGAGAGCATTGCAGATGGCATGACCGTTTGTGAGGGTGGTGTGAAAGGACTCCGCTCTGTGCCTCCCAGGTCACACTGTCTCTTTTTTCTAGAGCCCACTATCTTTTTGGTGTCCTGTAGGAGAACCCTGGCATTACAGCGCAGCTGTTGAAAGCCTTGGTGTTGGGCCAGCTCTACAGCCGGCTGGCAGTAATGTGCTGCTCAAGAGGAGCCAGATACGACGTGGTGGCAGACTAGAGGAAGTGGGTCATGGAATGACCAGATATCTGTCTGTCACTCTCTCTCTCCTTTCTCTCTCTGTCACACATACACACATGTATGCACTTCATCATGAATAAAGAGAAAACTTAAAAAGAATTTAAAAAGCCTGGGCTATGTAGTTAGATAGACCTGGGTCCACGTTCAGATTCTGCCATCTACCTGCAGCGTGACCTAGAGTAAAGTACGTACCCTCTCTGAGCCTCAGCTTCACCACAATAAAATAATCATCCCAGTGGGGTGTCCTGAGGGACAAATGAGGTGCGCCTTGTACAGGGCTCATCACAGAGACCACAGGCAAGGGGCAAGTGTCAGTCACTATTTTGTAATTGTCACCAATCTGGAGGCTTGCTCTGACTTGACAGCTGGTCATTCGATGACACTTTTGCTCCTTCCTGAATTAAAAGGTTTGAGCTGGACCACTCAGGTCCTTTCTCGTTTGACCATTCTGGAGTTTTGTGAATACTTTGGACCCTAGGCGAAGTTCCTCCTCTACCTGAGAACTGTCTCTATGAGCTTGTTTGCTTATTTATATCTTGCCCAAATCCAGAGAGTCTTGTATAACAGGATCAGAATTCAAACAAACAAAAGAGAAGATAAGGAAAATCTGTGTGCTGATTATAGGGACTGGGGGAGGAGGGTATCTGTGAAGCAAGAATCTCTCACTTGAAAAGGACAGTTTTCCCTATGAGTGATTTAAGACATGTTCATTCATTCAACAAATATTTGCTGAATTCTGCCAGGTACCGGGTATTATTGCAGACTCTGGAGAAACAGTGCTAAATAAAATAAATACCACCTCTGATCTATGCTTACGTCCTAGAAGGGAAAGGCAAAAATAAACAAGAAACACAGTTTAAAAGGAAAATTCCTATCCTTCAGAGTTCCAGTGTTCACCATGCTCTCCCCCAACCAGAACACAGGCTTGTCTTGGCTCCCACCCCCACCCCCTGACTCCCCTTGATTGGAGGCTACTCAGCTGATTTAATTATTCACCAGTCAAACTGTGTCCCAGGCAGGTGCCTGACCCTACATCATGGACAGAAACACAGTACCTCTTGTGGAAATAATTCCTCAGGGCCTTTATGTACAGGGGTCCACTTTCTTAAACTTCCCTCCAGTTCTTCTTCATTGATTGAAAGAGTCCTTTCTGAAGGTCCTGGAAGTATTAATTAAGAAAGAGTGATCATACCATGGGAATTGTTCAGAAATTTGAAATTGTACCACAAAATCCTAATTTTGCTTTTTCTTCATGAGAAAGACTAAGAATTACACAGATGGTCTCCAACTTAGGACAGCTGGACCTTTTGACTTTATGATGGTGTAAAAGTGATACAAAATCAATCATAAAAAAGATGCTCTGAAACAGTTATTGATATGCATGTTTAGCTTATGATATTTGAAACTAGCAACAGATTTATGGAAATGCAACCCCATCTAAACTGATGGACGTCTGTATGAAGAGATATTAAGAGTGTGATACAGAAGGTGCTTCAAGGGCATCTGAGCAAAGGCTGTCACAAGGGCCATTCAAGGTCAATGCTCACCCACAGAGCAGAGACGCGGCACCCACTTTCTCCAACCTTCCTACTCATTGGCCACAGGCAATCACTAGAGTGACCTGACCAAAGTCTAAAGCAGTAGAGAACAGAGGACTGTAGCTTGTGTGGGGGGACTGGGAGAGGGCCTGGGCGGTGACTAGTCAGCCATAATCCTAGTACAGGCTTGGCTTCTTCCCAAGAAGAGGCAGCTCAGCCAGAATCGGAGGCATCAAATGCCCTTTACAGGAGCCCTCTGCAGTGCAGCAGCTGCTTCCTCAGAATCTGCCATGGCAGCCAGGTCAGTAGCATGAACAAGGCAGGCAGCCTGGCAGAAGTACTGCCCCACCGTGCCCACACGAACACTGTGCTACCTGCATGTGGCATTCAGTCTGGTCAGCAAATATGAAACCCAATAGCTTTTCTTGCCCTGTGATGTCCTCCAGCAACCCAGGCACTCCAGATCTCAAGGAAAGCTCCCGAGCAACCCTGTGTACTGGGGAGCTTTATGCTCTCTAGGAGGTGGACAAGCTCTCATACCCAGTGAAGGGACTGATTCAATTTCTGAACCAGGTTTGATTTCATTTACTGGAGAATGCTATAAAGATATGCTGGAGACACTCCAAGGGTAATTATTCCCAGGAGCTAAAGTAAAATGCTTTATTTTCTTGGTGACCTAGACAGTCACTGAAAGTCCTGAGCTGACTGCCATTTGATAAAATTTCTCAAAACCAACAACTACCAAATTTCTACTATCCAGGGAAGTGTAAACAGTTCTACTCTCTATGACAGAATCATCTCCAAACAGAGGTAAAGAACCTGCTTGCCCTTAGACATAACACAGGAGATAGACTATCTTCTGAAGAAAACAGTAAGACTGCCCTTGCTCTTACCTTGCGTCGCCATCACGATCTCCTGCACCCTTCGGTACTGGTTTAACAACCCAGTAAGCTCTTCTATCCGACGGTCCTGCCACAGAGGAATAGTACATTTAGATAACATGCCACTGGCACTTCAGATGATTTCATTCTGGGGCCCAGGCTGTGTTCCGGGTACATTGCAAAGAAATCCCTGTGACTCTGTGGGGCACTTTAAAGGAAAAGAGTATGCAGACCCTCCCCAAAGATCTGGGGTCACAGTGGTCTGCCTCACAGGGAGCCACAGAAGCCATGCCTACCTGAAGTCTACAAGACAATCATCGCTGCCTGTTACAACCTCCACGGGCTTAAACATTTTCCGAACCATGAAGCTCACTGTCTCCCTGCCCAGCTGAAGTAGCCATAGGAATTTGCCTCACTGTTCAGTGTCACTCTTAGAGCTACACACAGACACGCAAAAACTAAAATGAAAAATCCTCATTTTATAGTTTCCCCTGCTCTTTAGGAGTCTGAGATACCTTATAGAACAGAGAAAATTCCCACAGGGGATCATTTCTTCTAAGCCGAAGCTCTAGGGAATTGGGAGGCCATATACATCCTGGAGTTATGCACACCTCTGCTATCTGCTAGCTACCTGACCTTGGGCAAAATTACTTAAGCACTTCAGTTCTGTTTCCTCATCTGTAAAATGCAGGGTGGCAATCCTCAGAGATGGTGTTTGTGCCAGATAGGTGCTCTGTATTTATAGAGGTGGCTCTTTTACAACTGCAGGAATTACATGTGGAAACTAGCAGGCGGCAGGGTGCCCATTAAGGGACAACAGGAAGCAGTGCATGCTGCCATGTGTTGTGTCTATCAGCAGATCATGCATACAGAAGATTGGTGGACCGTTCCCACGCGTTGCAAGGAGTCTAAACAGGAGCCATGATATTGGCAGTAACCACAGCAGCACAAACAGGCAGGGATCTATTTCACTTTTGAGAGATTCCATTTAGGCAAAGTTCTCAGGCATTAAAAACAAAAACAGGTGGCTGAGGCCCAGTCTCTAAGAAGCAGAAACCATTGTCATGATACATCCCTGTGTCGATGGCCTGATGGACATGGCCCTGTCCAGGATAGCAAGGACCAGCAAGGACCAAAGAGAGCCAGTGATGTTGCAGGGAAGTGATGGGGCTGCCCAGTGACCATCTCACCTTATCTTCATTGGCAACAAGCAAAGTTTCCATCCCCATTTTCAGTCGATGAATTTCTTGGTCTGAAAAAAGTTTAGGTGTAACAAGATTTACTTATATAAATTTAAACAGCTATCTTCCCACAGTAAGATGCTCATTGAGCTCAACTTTGAAGACTTTCCATGTGAACATGGGCTCTTTTATTTCTGTAAAAGGCCCAGGATGCTGCCTGGCACAGAGTCAGTCTCAGTAAATATTTTTTGGACAACTAAATGTATGAACATACACTATTGTCTTCTTTTCATAGACTATGGGCAAAGTCAACTTGCCATTTACTCAGATGTGGAAGGGGAAGCCAAAAATCCTTCACAACAAAATATCTCCAGAGAATATTACCATTCTTTCTTTATAGCTCAAGCAGAAAGTGTTGTTGGGTGCTTTTGAAGAAAATCATCCACCCTGACAGTTAGTAAAGTAAAATTTAAAATAAGAAAAAAGTCACAGCTGAATAAACATTGGGGAAAATTATGTAAAAGAGTCAAGTACATGGCTTAATTTCAAATGATATAGTCAAAAGTGACTAAACAAATATTTAGATGAATCAATAAACATATTAAAACAACTCTGAAGTTACCTTTCTACTTGAGAGGTAACATTGAAGTTGAGATCCAAAGGATAAGAAAAAACTGATTTGTTCCTGTAAGTGTCAGGCGAGTATTGGTAAAATGACTAGAGCCTCTCCTTTGGTGCTGACACAGAAACAAGGTCTTCTGATCAAGTGAAAGAGTCAGATCAGGCCAGGTATTTCCTACATTCTCAGTAAAAGCTCCAGAAACAGTTACATAAAGCTTTAACTAACACTTATCTGTGAAGTCTTCAGAGATGAGTCTTCTGGATAAGAAAGGGGCCATGGCAATGATTTTACAATAGATCTGGGCTTACAGGCTCACCTGTGTGTGTGTACACACACATTCACAGCTAGCTACTCACTGGGACATGCTTGCACACATGGATGTGTGGGTGTGAACATGCATGCCACCCACACTCGTTCATAGACACACATGTCTACTTATGAGAGTGGGCCTGGGAACAACTCCAATCAAGTCAGTCACCTCTCTCTGCATGGTCATTGTGGAGAGCTGTGGTCCGGGAGAGCTGGCTGTGTAGACGTTCAATCTCTGCATCTTTCAGGGCCACTTGCTCTTGCAGCTGGGCTACTTCAGCCTGGAAGTGCAACAGAGGATCCCCACAAGATCAAAGGGACTGCCAAGCCATGATGAAGTGCCTCATGTCAGAGCCCAGAGCCCACTGGGCCCTGAGGACAAATTAGGAGGCAGGCGCAGAAGGAAGCAGTTAGAGGGGCTTACTGTCCTCCCCACAGGTGGAACTCTGCCTGATGAACTCATCATTTATGGCCAGAAGGCATATGCACTCTACAGAGAGAGACAGTGAAAGAGAGATGCAAACCCCAGACCGCCTGCCCTGATGCCAGGCTCCACTCACCCCAGCTCTGAGTTAACAGGACAGGCGAGAACCACTCTTACGGGGCTTGGGCTCACTGAGCCCACTTTGAGGGTTTCTGAAGAAATCTCTCAAATACCCAAAGAGCAAAGGGGAGTAAGGGTTACTCACCCCAAGTTCATTATATAGCACTGCCCCTGTACTCTGGTCGCTGCTCACAGAGGCCAGAGAGCCAAGTGTGGCTGTGATAAACTGTTTGCTGAGACCTGCAGCCACCAGGCAGCTTTCCATGATTCACTCAGGGCCAGGTGCCCATGAGCTTATGATTAATAGTGACAGTGGGGCCAGTCCCATAGCCTAGGGTTAAGGGAACCAGATCCCACATGGCCAACTGCAATTCGAATCCCAGTTCTAGTGACTTGAAAGGCATGTCAGGCATGTGTATATGTATGCCCCAAATCGAGAAGTAGGGATTGTAGCATAACCATACTCCATTACAGGGTGCTTTCCACCTCCCTCTCTCTGGCAAGTGCACACATCCTCTGGTAATTAAAAAAAATCACTTTTTAAAAATGTTGACAATGGCTTCTGAAAACCATAGCCTTGGGACTCACAACCCAAATGCCTCTCATTTCTACAAAAGCCTGGCTACTCTTGGAAGATACTCTTTTTTTTTTTTTTTTGGAGAGGTTTTCACTACAGGGCGCGTGTGCTCGCCAGACAGACAGACAGAGACAGAGAGATAGAAAGCAAGACATCATCCCCCCCACCCCCTCAGGGGGGATGGCCACGCCACAATCCCTTCTCCTCCATTCTCCTCTCAGGATCTTGGGCACACACTCACATGCGCCCGGCATGAGTTTTAAACCACCGGGTCCGGGACTCGAACCACGGTCGACTACGTGGGAGTCCAGCAACAGCCATTACACTAACTGCTGGTTCCAGAAGATACTCTTTTGACCTTTCTGTGCCCCTCTGTGCCCATTTCTCTCTCTCTCTGCAGACAGGATGGATGTTGTTCTCTGTTAGGAACCAGGATATCTGTCTGCTGCTGGCAGAAAGACTTCAGTGGACCTCAGTGATGTGGGCCTATTGATACAGAGTCAGCACTTGGCATGAGGTCCAAGGCCTGCCTCTGGATGAGGTCATCTGTATGTATACCATGGACCCTACAGATCAGGTGACTGAGTCCTTAAAGAAGTACCTACACCAAAACTAGGAAGGCCAGCAACCACCCAGAAATTTGCTACCTGACCGATGGGGCAATGTATGCTAGTGTTACAGCTGCCATGGCTATGCGGCTAGTGCTGTGGGGCAAGAGGGCCCAGACACACATGCACTGGGAGTTCGGCTGGGATAGGTATTCCAAGTCCAGTAAGTGCCACGTCTCGCTAAACCCAGAGACCACGTCCTGCTGCCACTGCTCTGGAAGATAAATCACCCTCAGGGACCAGGAAGCCTTAAGCAGAAATTTGAAGAACTTCCAAAGACAGTACAAGTTTTTACTGCAAGGAATCAGGACGATATAGGAAAGAGAGCACCAGGTCTGAACCTCACCTTGACCAGTCTGAGCCTCTGTTTTCTTAATAGTCCAGGGTGGTTGGAAAAGTCATAACATATATTTTCTATGTTTTTCTATGCAAAATGACTTTTCTGACAACCCAATTTAATGAGAATAATCACATATACCTCATGGGTTAATTTATGTATTAAATGAAATGATGTGTACAAAGGGCCTGGTGCATTCTGGCACACAGGTACTCCACACGCGGTGGTTATTAAGTAACCCATACCATCTCAAAGTCTACATGTCAAGGCAAAGAGCTTAGGCCATTTAAAGTTATTTGGTTTTATAGCAGAGGGATGGTATGTACTTCAAAGGTTTCATCAAGACGTAACTTGCTTCAAGGGTGCACTGTGTTGGAAGGTTCTGAGCTACTGGACAGAAGCAATGCTCCTAGAACTGGTGACCATGAAGCAACACACCACAGAGCTACACTCAGATGAAAACAGACCAGGGGACAGAAGGATCTGATTGCCTAGGGTTGGAAAGGCTAACTGTAAGAAAATTTTTTAAATGTTAAAAATAAATAAATAAATAAAAGGCTTCATTCAGGTATAAAAATGCAAAAAAAAAAAAAAAAATCTTGTGAAAGTTACCTAATCTCTCTGTGCCTTAATTTCATCATCTGTAAAATGGTTATGTAAGTTATTTACAAGACTGCATTAGAATATTATGTAGATATTAACATCATATTCAGAGTTTTCTCTAATAACATGGGAAACCACAACATTTTAAATGAAAAGAAAAAAGCATGATATAAAATTATACAGAAATCATCACCGCCAGGAATTGAGAAACTAAAAGAGAAACAGAAGAAACACTGAGAGAGCTAGAAAGAGAAAATGCCAGGGCCAGCAGGTGACAGAATGGTTAAGGCACTGGACTCCCACATGGCTGAACATAGTTAGAGGCCCAGTCCTGGTGGCTTGAAACCCACTCCAGGCACATTGGCCTAAGTGCCCAGAATCCCAAGAGGAGAATGAATGACAAGGGACTGTAGTGTAGCTCTCCCCCCACCCACACCCAGGGAGTGATTTCTCACTTTCTCTCTGTCTCTTTCTCTGTGTGTATGTCTCCAGTGAGTGTACGCACCCTACAGAAAAATCTTAAAACGAGAGAGAGAAAGAGAGGAAGGAAAGGAGGGAGGGAGGGAGGGAGGGAGGGAGGAATTGTCTTATTTTGGATCAGTGGTTCTCAA